CACAGCCAAGCTGAAGTGAGCTTCTGGCTGACACATTCTGGCATCTCAAGCCTCCACCAATTTCGAGGCTTCAAAGAACTGAGAGAGACAACTAAGCCCAAAGAGGAAGGAAAACCACTCCATCAGACCCACTGAAAAACAAGACCAACATGAAAAACAAGCACAGAGGATCCTACACAGCAGATGATCCTGCACTCAGCAGCATTTCTGAAGGCCAGTGGTGGCAACCGTCCCAAACCAATTAGTTCCACCATATTGGTTTCAATGGACTTTCGAGAACTGTAACATTATTTAACTGTATTACCTATGGGTTGTTAGGGCAAGAGAGCACACTAAGAATTGTTTAGAACTTTGTGTTTTGTTTTTCTTGTCTTCCTCAGAAAGAGTTGTCTAACCATCTACTCTAGATATCATCGTATTACTTATTCTATGGACAATTATATGCAAATAGGCAAGAGTCAAATGAAAATATACATAAAACCATAACAGACTCAGAAACATACTCTTTGGAAGCTACATGAAAAGGAAAACTAATGTGGTAATACTTAAAAATAGATGCAGTACTTCACACTTTTAGTCCTGGTAATACAATTTTCAAATATAATAACCACAGCTGTAGTGATCAGGTATGTACCATGCTACCTGGACCAATTCTACGTGCCAGTAGAGAAAACTGAGGAAAGCTTCAGTCAACGTAAAGAAAGAAGGAACAAGTGACAGCAAAACCATGAGAAAGACCAAGTTGTTGTACTACTTCCCTCACAGATAATATAAAGCTACAACAAAAAAAGCACCTAAGTACATTGGAGCTCCACTGGCACATTGTATGCTCTGTCTGAGAGACAGTGATAGCTGCTGACAGCAGTAATTTGTTCTTGTGTAAGTGTAGCTTTTCTTAAAGAAAAAAAAAAAAAAGAAAAAAAATGCACATTTAATGCTGAGTTGCCTTCTTATGTGTGTTTCTGACAGAGACCTATGATACTCTCTAAGAAACTCTCCCTCGCTTGTGCCTTAATTTGTTCACCCCTTTCCTCAATCTAGCAGTGAAATCTCACAGTAAAAGCTCAGTTACCAGCAGTAAATTGTCCACCATAATTATATCCAGCAACCAAAGGTCTTCTCACTAGGAAACTGCTCAGAAGAACAGTGGTAATTAGTGTGTTGGTTGTAACCAGAAAGAATATACAACAACTAAAAGTGTGTAAAGTTCAGCTTAGAATAGTCCATCCTAGATAATGACCACTGAGCTTAAAATTGCTATCTCTCAGATTTCTACATCTTCATCTCCAGCTCCATTTTCCTTCATGAACAGATTGCTTTTCTGTTCTTCTTCTTGCATATATTTTTATTATTTTAACTTAAAATTACATTTAAACATGCACATTTTTGTGGAGAGAATCACACACATTTTTGTGCTGGCATCCTGAATATAGAGAGAATTTGTATTACATAAAGGAATCTTGACCTGCATAGTATGATGGCAAGAGCAAGTGCTGCTGTTGATTAAAAGCAAGGACATTTTTTCATTTACAGTGGTAGAGCAACTCTTCAGAACAGATCTCACAGCAAACCGTGGGACCTTTACAGCAACGCAGTGCTTTGTTTTGACCAATTTTAAATATATAAAAAAATGATTTGATCAACATTTTGCTTAATCAATGCACAGAACACTGTGACCAAGTGTTACCTGGATTTAAATCTTTTTATTCTGTTCTTGTGCTGTAACACTGGACTTCATAGGCACTGTTCTGAATAATCCCCACACAGAATGGAACAACGTGTCAGCTGTTTCATTTCAAGACACTTTTAATCAGGTAATTACAGGAAAAAAATCACATTTAAACAATTTTTAATGTGTCATCTGCCATGTCAACTTACAAGGATATGATGTAACAAATCTGTTACAAATTTAAGGGCATATTTACATTATATACTCAAAGTAACGAGCTGTATTCATTGACAGAAAAGGAAAAACCTATGGGATGAGTTAATGCAACGATATACCAATTAGCAGAAAGAAATAGCAGTTGAGGTTTAATGGAGACAATATACATGTGAGGCACTTCGAGGTCATAAGGGTGGAAAGCAAACAGCACCAAGCAAAAGGAGAAAATTCTGTACAGATTATATCAGAGCCTCAAAGATGAAGGCTGTTCCTTCAACAAACGCTTCAATTTCTTCACCTAACCATGAATTTTGCAATCAAGAAAGAGATTTCAGGAAAACAAACAAACAAAGATCAAACACTGCCTTGCTCCTCAAGCCCACCCTTCCTCGTATTTGTCAATGCACTGAGGGGAAGTTTTATCCACCCCACTGCTGCACTAAGAGTACCGTAAAGCATCTTTTAAAATCTAGTATTTTGCTGCCAGCTGCGACCTTCACTCTATTGAGATAAATGTATTACTGTGCTGGTTGTATACTGTCATACGCTGTAAAAAGATTTGAAGTCTAATATGAACCTATGTGCATTATTTAATCAAGAGTTGAGCATTATCCTCCAGGTACACATGAACAGAACGTTCTGAAGAGAACATAACAGAAAAGGGAATGTGATATCCCAACACACAAAATTAAGACATTCTTCTGAAGACTTTGTTTTCCTAGAGGAGCTGGGTTAAGCCTGCTTGCAGCATCCCTTACATAAGCTCTGGGAAGGCAGCTGAAGTTTGTGCCATCCTTTGCTGCTGCTTACTCTAAGCAGTTACCATAGTAATTGTAGATTTTCAGAATATTGCTTCAATCTTGCACGCAGCTGTGGGAGTAGCCCTCCAAACCACTGCAGTGCACGTGGAGGTGCGCAGGCACACCTGTGTCTATTTGGGCTCCATTGGCATCACAAGCCAAAAAGCCAGATTTCTTCTGCAGGAATACCCATGTGCCTTTACTTTACACAGGAATCTCTCACACCTAACGACATCACCCGAAGAAGTTGTTCCATTCCTCATTTTTGTACTTTCATGCAATAAAGTAACTATGACAGCCTAACAGAACGTACGACTAAGGCATTTTAATAATTTTCAGTTAACACTAACAGTAAAATTTAAGAGGCACGATGAGACAAAGAATCCCTGCACGATGCCATGCTTCCATTGCGTACATTCGCGCTCACAAACTCTTTCCGCAGCCGTAACGCCGCTCCAAAGCGCGTTACGTGACGGCGAGGCCGGAGCCGCGGGAGTGAAGCCCGAGCACTCTCTCCCCCAGCAGATGGCGCTCGAGCGCCGCTGTCAATCGGCTGCCCCAGCTTCCTTTCAATAGGAAACGTTCAATTTTCACGGTAACTGAGGCTCTCAGTGAGCGAGGGACTTAGTATGCACCGACGGTTTCCCAAGGCTCGGGTCTCCCCTCCGAGCAACACAAAGCTCCGCTGCCGCATGCCTGGCAAGCTCCAGCTCTGATGCCCAGGGAGAGGGGGGTCAAGGCTGGGGAAGGAATTTGTCTTTTCCCAAACAGCTTAAGAAAACAGCTCAGAAGAGAACAGATTTTACTTGCTGTCAAAAACAAAAGACGTGCAGATTTAAGAACCCATTTTGGAAAGGGTTTGATCTGAGTCTACCTTTTGCTACTCGTAACTGCAAGCGTGAAAAGGATCCCTAGCACCACGAGAGAAAAAAGTATGCGTGCATCCTAATAAAAAGCAACCCTTATGTAACTGTACTTCTGCACTTCTCTTCACTAATCTCAGGACGGGCATGCAGGCTGCATGTTCCATCACAAGAAGGAAAGCAAACACTGAAATGTCACCAACATTTTTCAGATGGAACAAGTCTTTAAAAGGGAAGGCAAAATGACGAAAACATTTTAGCAAAGCAGTTAAATGCAAAATGAGAATATTAGTGCACACATTCAGTAAAAATATTAAAGCATATATGCTTCATATAAAATACAGTACTAGTGCTCAGAGGAAACTGTTAAATTCATTTCCTTCTGCAGTATATACAGAGTAGGATTCTACAGTATTTACCTATACAGCCAGCGAATTCTGTTCTTAGGTCGTTCACACCTCTCTTCACCTTGAGTTAGGAACCTAGCACTGAAACATACGAAATGCATCCCATTCACAAGACAGACATTACTATTTTACATTTTATCTTTTTTTTTTTTTTTTTTTTTTTTTTTTTTTTTAAGGTTAACAGTCTATTCCAGGAAACCAAGTTCAGCTGAAAACGTGTGAAGCATGACAATCAACCAGAACAGCAGCAAATGCATTAACAGTAAAAAGCAAGACTGCTGCTACAGCATCATATTCATCCTATCAACTCATTACAAAACTGGAAGCTCTTTCATAGCTTCTACAGTTATCAATAACATTTCTTCTTTTCAATGTGAAATAATACTTTGGGATGAGCTATGTACATAATGTGGTCAATTCAAGCCATAATATAAATATAAATGTTTCCTTATAAAAAGTATTTTACAGACAAATGATGTGATACATGTTTCCTTCCTTTAATGCTGGGCTACAAAAGAAAACTAAGGGCACTGACCGACACAAACGATACTGAAAAATACATAGGGTGAGAAAAGTTAACGTGCATCTTTTCAACTTAATTACTTTTGTTTAACATGGGATACTCTGAGGACGGTCTGTCCGCCCCACTCCAGCTGCAGCAGCAATTCGGCACCTACCCTACCAAATAATTATTTTATTGTTTTACATATTTTTAATGAGAAGCAAACGCTTCTTACTTCACGGCAGAGCAAAATATGTTTTAAAAATTCTCTAATGGTTAATTGCTTAATTCTTTTCTGAAAGTTAAACACTTGGTGAATATAAAGCCGTAACAAATACGCACAGCACCATGTGTGCATACACGCACTCCTCCATCCCACTCCCCAGCCTCCCTCCAAATTCACTTCATTAAGTTCACTTCCAATTTTGCCTGGGCTTATTTCTCAAGTCTTCTTTGCCTTTCCTTTGTTCAAAACCAGTGGTTTTGTTCTTGCATGTTGAAGTAGGAAGAAGCTGCAATTCAAAATAATGAAAACAATTTCACTTTTGTTATTAATCTTTTGTTTTAATCATAGTACTCGATAAACAGTTGAACAGGATCCTAGTTTAACAGAAAGATAAACAAGAACACTGATGACAACTCGTTACAACTGCCTTAATGTACCTTTTGCTTAATGAACATCTGTATATGTAATAAAGTATTTTTTGGAGGATGCCCCAAAAGAAAACAACTTGCTGGTTGAGCAACAGAAACAGCTTCCTTTTTGCTATTATGTTGAAAACAAAGTCATTTATATATAAAAATAAATGTTATGTTCTAACAAGAACATTTTAGACAATTACATCTGTGCTTAAAAAAAAATATTGGTCACTCAAGACTAGAATAATTAATATTTTAGAAGTTTTTAGATTATCAGAATGTATGGATACAACTCAACACAAACTGTAGCTGAAGGGAAACAGGACTGAAAATATCAATTTGTCCATCTGGAATAAAAATGCAACTAAATTAACTAATTAAATATTTAAAGTACTACAATGGAATGTGACAGTAGATATGGTCCATACCTACTAGACCAGAGGGAAGGGAAGTTTAACATGTAATAATTCGTACCTTACACATTTAGTTAAATATAAACATTTGTTATTTATACATAAAGTTGCTTCCAAAAAACTATTAATAAGTGATTTAGTTGCACTTAAAATCAGTTTCATTTCTCATTTGCCGAGTATTAACTTTTCTTAATCTTAAATCAACTGTCACTAGTGCACTTTTAGTTAAAATTTCCCCTCAGGTAAGTTTTAATCCTTTTAAAAGAGCCCCCTCACCTAAACCATGAATGTACAAAGTGGCAAAAGTTAATCCCTTTTAGTATAATCATAGTTTATATGCTCATTTTATAGCCAATAATAAGAACAGGCTTTCCTTTGCAAAATCTCCTTCACAACTCGCAACAAACGCCACGTGCTCAAAGGAAACAGTTAGGCGTGGCTAGCACTTGTAAAATGCCAAGGTCTGACAAGTCCTGTTGCCTCTTCCACATCGTCGAGCATCTCTTACGTGAAAGAAGATTCCCTTCGGCTCGCCAAAAAGCTTCCACAAATCCAAGTTAGATGCTTCCTGGAAACAAAGATTTTCAGCTCTGTTTGGCACAAGACTGATTCATCCTGCAGCTTTATGCTTCCCTCCACAGCACCCACACGCCTCACCGCAGTGATGGCATGCTCTCAAGGGGAGGTAGCAGCACATACATGGAGCAATGAATGACAGCGCTACCAGTGCTAACCAGCGTAAGCAGAACTTGTCATCGCTAGTGTCACACGAGCAAGGATCAGAAAAGTCTCCTTCCGAGTCTGACATGCAGTGATACAGCATGCTCTCTGCGCAAAGCATGCAACTAACTTGGTAGATACATCTTTTAATAGGATCTGGAGCATCCTGACATTTTCCTCTGCCGTTATCTTCATGATTAAACCTTTCCTGGCAGTATATACAGCGGGAACGCTCACCATCCTCTTTTCTTCTTTTGGAGTTTTTAAATTTTGATGAGGAGGGTTGAGTTTTAAATACCACAGAACTCTTTGAGTCTTTCAGGGAATTCAACTTAGTTCCATCCCCACACGGGTATAAATAGTCAGATTTTTTACTGTCTGATTTAGAAAATGGTATATTTGAGTCTGCGTCATCCCTCTCCAGGTCGTTCTTCCACATGTCAGGATGCCTGTAGTCTGCATAACGACGTATCAAAATATCACGAGGGTTTATTCTAACGATTTCATCTTCATCTTGAAAACTAACGTGTCTGATCGGCTTCAGTGGGACCTGAAATGACAAAGTGAGGTTAGTTTACTGTTGTTAAGTCTCAAATTTATGTTCACATATAATGCACACAATTAAGAGCGTGGGATTTTTTTTCTTGCTGCATGTAAATAGGTTTTTCACCTCCTTCTCTTACCAATACCATTTACAGACTTCTTCATAATACAAGCACAATAAGGTTTCATATTCCCTTCCAACGCTTTATGTCTCACAAGGACTCTGGACATGTTGGTATCCACATAAAAACTTCACACCATACTTCAGAATAGGCTCAAAATTTGGATTTAACATCTCACAGTGGCAATTAATTCCACAGATCAATGACGCGTTATGTCACTTTGCCAGTCTCATGTATCAGTGGCAACCTCCAGGATTAACTTCCAGATGAACTCGTGCTGTGTCACTCATGTTATCTAGGAGGAGCTTTGCATAGCCCTCACTCTTGCTCTGAGTTTTCAAATTTCCTCCAGTTCTGCTATGATAGTATTAAATATTGATTACACAAAGCTGTGTTCCAGATTTTGCCATGTGTAAGAATAATATTTTATTCAATATTATTCAATTTTGAATTCAGTAGTTCAATAGTGCTATCAGACAAATTTCTTGTATTCAGTATCAGCAGCTTCTAAACGCATCTCACCCTTAGCTATCATACCGTACGTTACTGAAAGTGGTCAGTTTAGGACGCCAGTAGACAAACTCATGAGAACTTTTAAAGTTAACGGAACAGGCCATAATTCAGAATGTTTACCTTAGTGGGCAAATAACAAAGAACATGCTAAATATAAAGCAAAACAGCACAGAAACAGATCAGACTTCTTGTTTAGACTCTGTCTTGCAATGAAAAAGTTGTTTAAGATGGCAGATTAGAAATACTGCAGAACTGAGAAACGAGTGTAATACAGCAGACCACCATTCGATGCTACTGGAATCAGAAGTGATTTTTAAGAAAACGTGCAAATAGTGACAGAATGCAAATACAGCACATGTACAGAAGGAACTTTGAAAACAGCAGAGAGTCCAGCAGTAAAAGAAAAGTGTCAGTATGTCCCAGACAGGCAATTATTTTCCTATGCTGTAGGGCTATTATAATCAGAGACAGAATATAACAGAAGTGAAATTAGATTTGGAGCTTTTTGTCCTTCCTGTCAACTGCAAAATACCTCATCAAAAAGACAGCAAAATCACTTCCTAATGCACCAGTCTTAAAAATTCTCCCAGAATCAGAAATTACTGAGGGTATCTCTGTTACCCATGTCATTGCTTTGAGAGTACATACCATCTTACTAGTACTGAGCAAACTGATGATTCCTAATGTTGTTGCCATGTGAAACAATGCATGTCTGAAGAAGATGCTTTAAGTTAACATTTCTATTTCACTTTGCAAGCATCTTTGCTCCTACTACATTGAAACGCGTTCCAGTTCTGGGGCAGAAGGCAGAAGTGGAGAGAATAGCTTCTTAAAATATTCTCACACAATTAGAAGTCGGCATATCCATAGCCTGCTCAGGAATCCTTGTGTGACATGTATTACAGAACCGTAATACAAGCTGCTCTGCCCTATGAGCTTCAACTGCAGTATGCTAGTGAGAACAATTATTTGTCTTGGCTCCAAGTCATTTAGTTGGACATCCACAAGGTCTAGAGGACATGCTGTGCAAAAAGACTCCATCCCATTCAGCTGATGCCCCTGCTCTTCCACACATTCCCAGTCCCCAGTGCAAGCAGTTAATTCAACCTTTTGCTTGTAAATACAGATTGCTAAGTTCTACAGTGTTCAAAAGAGGAGAAACAGCGTATTGCTTTAGCATCAGTAATAGCTATGGATAACTGCCTTTTTCAAGCTGTTACAAGCATAAATTCAAGGGGAAAAGTACTAAAAGCATCATTACAATTCCATATGTTACAGGTACAAGGATCCTTACCTCACTGTTCAAATAGAGTACTAAGCATGCTTTTAAGACATTAAAACTCACTGTTCAAAAGCTAAAACCCCAAATCATAACCTTCACTCCTATCTCCCTTCTCCCAGAATTGCTGTTACAGTAAATACCAACAACTATAAAATCTGACTTCTCAATCTTTGTTTTCTATTTGTTTTATATGTACACACTTAAAAAAAACACTTAAAAGCCCAACACGTAGCTGATACTAGGAAATCTTTAAGAAAGCAAGTGATAAACACTGAAAAAAAAACAAGTGAACAGGAAAACAAACATTGGAAAAGCTTTATTTATAGAATTCTTTCATATTGGGTGTTTAATGGGACCTATATACGAAAGCAAGACATACATAGAAACTGAATAACATTATACAGCCCAGATTTCATTAGGCATAAATACCACCTAAATGCAACGAAAATTATGCATCTAGTCTTTTGATATTCACAGTAATATCTTAGTAGAGGTGAAACCTCTGTGTAACATCTGAAGCAGGAAGCGAGGAATAATAATACAACAAATGAACCCCACAGAGAATCTCATTGCAAACATAATTAGCCAACTGGAAATGAGGCAGAAAATCTTTATTGACATGGCTCAATTTTCCAGTACTGCACCTTACTTGAAGGGTTACAACTGCAAGCAAGGCATGGCACTTGCTCAGTACTGCAGCCTTCCCTGACTCCCTTCGAACAGATGCACCTGATTGCTCCAGTAGAAACTCTACAATAGGAAGACAATCGTAGCTAAAAGTAACATTGCAAAGAGTTACATTTAAGCTAAGTTAAATACACACCAGAAGATAAGGAGGTGAAGGAGATGGTTTTCCTTTTTTTTTTTTTTTTTTTTTTTAAATAACATTGTGACAGTATCATGTGAAAGGAATTCAATTGCTATCAATAACCTCTTTAGTTTCAGCACATTCTTGTTATTTGACTTAGGAGCACAGAAAGTGTTCAAACATTTTTATACATAATTGAAACAAAACTGTTATTTACCTCAAAATCTGCTGTGCTACATGGCCACCATGCGTGGAGCTCAGCAGCAAGAGCAGTGTTTGCATGTACAGAATGTGAAGTTTTGTTGACTCACCTATGTTCTAAAAAGTGCACAACAAGACTACACAAAAAGCACAGTATGTTGGATGCAGGTAGTGCTACAATGAGAAAAATATTTTAAAGAATATTTATCTACTTAAATTTCTGTGGAATCACCAACAATTCAGTGCACAAGAAGTGACTTCTAGCATTTTCATGTCAATTTTATATCAGATAGGACCTACTCAATCTTTAATTAGTACTAGTTTAATACGCTCTTAGAACAAAAGGCAATTTAAGCTGCTGCATTTTTCTTTACAACTCAGGACTTGAAGCCTTCCTCACATTATTGTTTATTTCTCTTAAGAATGTCTGCAAAGTGCTTATTACCTTTCACGTGTAACCAACAGACTACCTCCCTTTCTGTACTGAAATAGAATATTTAGCAGGCAGCTAGCATGAACAAAGTTTCACTAAAAATATTCACAACTGTCCCACTGTGCAATGCATCCTAAGCACCCATTTTCACAATACCTTTAAATATTTCTAATCAAAACAGTATTGGTACACATATAAACAAGATTGAGACAACGGCCAGTTTACATTTTCTAAACAATTTAGATAGCAGCTCAAAGCGGCAAAGTCTATGATACAGAAATATGAGTTCAAAGACAGTGAAAGACCTATTCACATAGTCTGCTGCACTGTATCTTCACAATGCTTTACTTCTATGATTCTGTGATAATAATGCTGTATGTTTCAACTGCAAAATTTATGATGATAATTTCAAGAAGTCCACAATATAACGCTACAAACAAGGACTCAGAATGAAAATGCTCTCTTGTCAGAAGCCGCATTGCATGCCAGCAATACAGCAAGCAAAGTAAGAACTGCTTTCGTTGATGAACTTACCTGGCTAGGTTGGCTAGGAAAACAGGCTCTCCTGGTGTTGAAATCCTCAAGTGCTGAAGGCCTTACGTTTGAAGTATTGTAAAGTTCACTGGTTACTACGGTTTCGTGTTGGAAAAGGTGATCTTTCATTAATGAACCTGATGTATTTTCTTGAGTACTCTGGAGCAAACAAGAACATTCTTGAAATGATTTTGCAATTACACAAAAACCGCTCCTCAATACACAAGGTTATACATAAAAGCAGTAAAATTCTATACAATTTGCTAGAGACATCTATAAACACAAGCATTTCAAAATACACATTTGTAAGTACGTATAAATACATTTCTTAACGATGAGTCAGCTTTGGAAATGAAGAGTTCATTTTCTGCAGAGCATACACAACTGGGAGCCAGAGATACAGGCCTTTAACTCGTTTGCCAAATCCGATACAAGGAACTTCTTTAGCGTAGGAGGGGTTAACCCAAGCCCCAAGATAATGCTTTCCCTAACTACCCACAAGGCTGCCAGTATTTACAAATACAGAATTGTAGGAAAGAAAAATTAAGACTAATAAGGCAAAAGCTAGTCAGAATTTTTAGTAAGTAAAGAAGCAAGACTGCTTAACAGATCTGCTGGAAAGGAAGAGAAAAATCAGTGTTACCATATACAGGCTCAATTAAAATATCTAATTACAGCAAGTGTGTATTAAACAGCTAATGGCTGTCTTTTTAAAATTAAGGTTACATTAGGCAATTTGATACAAAACTGACACCATGTGGTAGTGTATAATGATATATCTACAGAACGTATGCTACTCAGAATGAGGAAGAAGAAGTATGTTTGGGTGGAACATTGGCTTGTAAGATGATCCAATTTTCTGAGAAGAAGAGAGAAGCAAATGCTTCCCATTCTTTAAGCTGAGTGGGATATGCTTGAGATACAGTGGAGCATCTTGATAGAAATCTCATTAAGTTGCTAAAAAAAAAAAAGTGCTGTATGTTTTGTTTGCACTGAAAGATGCTGCAAAGTTAGCTGCCATCACTTGATAGATCTGAGAAAATTCTGGCATCATCCTGCTTCCAGCAATATTTCCATTTAGCTATAAAGATTTTTTATAAGGATTTGTATGCATCAAGAAAACATGAATGAAGCAAACAATAAAAAAAATACTGCAGAAAATTACCAAGGAAGTAGTTTTCAGTACCTGAAATTTTGGCAGGCTAAATGCTAACACTGAATTGTTAGCTTTCATTTATCAAAATAATTAAGAAACTTGCTCTGGAATTTCGTGAGCACCTGAGATACATAAAAGCTTCATGCATCAAATTAAAATACACTCAGATTAAGTCAAAGCAGCTACTCTGTTACTAATGTTGTGAGAAAGAAAACCGCCACTAAGAACTTACATAACACTCTGAAGGTCTCTGAGTGGAAAAAACACTTAAATTAAGTAGTCAATTCATTATCAACTTTAATTAATACCAGTGAAATATACTCCATGAAAGGAAAGACAGGAGTTCAATAAGGTTGAAGTTCAGCTAAAAAATACTGAAGACAGTCAAATCTACAAAAAGAAGCACTTGTATGGTCCTTGAGCACCACAACACTACTAAGCCATCAGCCTTCTATTTTCTCGTCAAATACTGCTGGGAATGGAGTAGAAAACAATGTTAAAATGACTAGCAAGTGTTAGATTTCAAAGATGTATATTTATTTTAAGAGTAAATGAGCATCAAGTATTAGTGCGGTATCAAATACCTTGCCAGCAGGACATACTCTTGAAGGTACATTGCCCAGTGACATAAACAACATCACAAACCACTACCTAACCTTAAAATGGGTTGAGAACCCCCACAGCTACCATCAGTTTGTGTGGTCTAGGGTGGGAGATTCAAGAACTGCTACTCCATCGTTTCCAGGAAAAGAGATACCTGTACATATGCCAGCCCTGGGTCTGCTTTGGAACACCCTGCATTGCTTTCTGCCCCTACAGATGACACACAGTCTCCCTATAAAAGATGTAGTCACCAATCATCTATTAAAGTGTTAATAGTGCCATTTAGTGATGTATGAAATAAGGACCATAAAGCAAGCTTCTGTGCCCTATATGCAGCAAGTACATTGAAATGCTTTTGCTTAATTCCAGCATCCCAACCTACTTCAAGGACAAATGTAGGGGTGGCAGGAGATAAAGGTATTTGAACTTTGTATGGTAGGAACTCTAAGAACTTGCAAGACAACCGTTGAGAAAGACCAGCACTCAGCCTACCAACCCAGACACTGGTATAGCCTAGCTCCTGAGTCTCAACAAAGATGAAAAGTGAGTAAGTAGGCTATTGATCACCATTAGCCTATAATCGCTCATCATGCAAAACTAATGAAATGACAGATAAATACCCACTGCATTTATAATCAAGGTGGTAGTTTAAATACAGCTAAAGCTCATCTACTAGTATCAAAAAGGGCTGCTTTGGACAGATGCATCCTGCTCCAGTGTAACATTTTATGACAAGGTTATAAACACCTGAAACCCCTATCTGCCATGGAAACTCTGATGACCTGAAGGGAGAAGTCCTAGAAACAAAAACACTATTGTATTGAAAATGCATTCAAGTGAAACACAAATGTTAACTTTTCCAGAAGAACTAAGTTTGCTATATTAAATATTACACACAAACACAGATGCACGCGTTCCCTTTTTCTACTGCCCAAAGCAATTACATCGCCCACATTCAATATCCTTTAACCACCGCCTGCAAAGTACGGTACTGGCATAGGTTATTCAGTATCATCTGTAGAGTAACCTACGCCAGTTTTTAATGCATAACGGAAATCTGGTTTGCTCCCAGCTGCTGGTATAATAATTACTGTCCTATGGTTGCTAAGAGATACTCTGAATTTTTTTTTCCAAGACTACTAAAACATTTCTGTGCGCGCAGGCACAGAATGCTGGGTAAAGCAATAAAATGACTCCAGCTGTAGCTCTCCAGCAGAATTCAAAGCCAGATGACAGCTGTAGAGAAAATGAAAACCAGACTGAGCTTTTCTTCTCCAAGTTTTCTCTCCTTACTTCTCCCAGCTTGCCAGAGTTAAGTCCGGGAGAGAATTCAACATTGTTCTGCAAACATTGTTAAAAATGTTCTGCTCTAAGTTTAATGATTACACAGAAGGATGTCTGAGAGACCACACTTCCGCTGCATCCCAGCTCTTGTATTTACTTCCCATGAGGCCTGAAAATCTGCTGTTTGATGGTAACCACCGCAAAGGAGTTTACATTTTTGTCTGTAATTCTTAATTGTGAATAAATGATACGGGTTTCAAAACCACTCAAATAACTTCCTTCTGCTTTAGCTACTCCTATGACTGATGGAGCAAATACTTCCATAGTTGGCAAGAAATTCTACTACAACCAGGTATGTACTTCTGACGTGAACTGAGATATTACGTAAATTAGTCTCAGTCTGAAGTAAAAAGTCAGGCATTTGACATATTTCTTGCAAGGATGTTCTACTAGAATATATAAAACATAGCAAAGATTATTAGGAATTCCAACAAAGAAATGAATAAATTAAGATACCAAGTGTAACTCTGAGGGAGTAAGAGAGGGATGGAGATGTAAATGCGTGGTCATGGATATTGTCAAGAAAAAAAAAATTGTCTGTTTTGAATACTACACCACAAAGGCCTAATAAACATAAATAAAATCGGCTCGTTTATTATTACGTTTTACTTTAATAATGAATTGATACTACATTACTTCCATGCAGTTAAATAATATACACTGAATATTGCTTATCTTCAGTGCTTAGTCATGTCACATGTTTTTCTCTATACAGACAACAGTGTCAAGCATAAATCATTCCACATTTCTTTACAACTTACAATGCCAAATTACTTCTGTAAAATGAAGCTTGTTCAAACCTTTGTCTCCGGACAAAATACACTGAATGCTCACTACTTAGTGTATTTATGATGAGATATGTCAACCATTTATGTTGCCATTGCCTGCAACAAAATCTCTTAAACTGTGTTTATAAGTTTCAGGCCTTCTCCCCTTCATATCTATTTCTGAAAGCCAACTTAAACAAACAAATAATAATAACAAAAAAAAAACAACAAACAAACCCAAGAAGATCCCACCTTAATTTATCTGACTTCAGCTTTCTTCTGCATCAAGTAGTAAGAAACTCGGAAGCAGAAGTGCTTCACTTCTCATTACTTCAAAACTCTTAAAATGTGTTGATAGCCTCTAAATAACATCAATGTCTGGCTCAACAAAAACTGACAAATAGACTCAATCTGCTGTATTTTTCAGTTCTCAAAAGACTTATGCATTTTAAATTTCAAAACCTCAACAAAAGTATTTTTAAAGGCATGAACTATAGATCACATTTAGATTTACTCCTAAGGAAAAAAAAAAAAAGAAAGATCCCAATGATTGCTTTCTTCTTGTTGCTGTTAAGCCCAATCAGTTTTAGAGCAAAAAGTTTGTGCTTCGAGAGAACAAGAATCTGAGCCAATCTCTGAACAAACAAGCAAACTGACTTAAACAAGCTGCTTGTCTACTGGATTCAAAATAGCTGGATTTGTACCAAAAAAATCCAAATCTCCTACTAGGACAAATTCTCAGTATATATTTCCATCCAAATGCATATACATTCAGAGGATTTATTTACAAACGCTACAGGAAATCAGAAAACTCTACATTAACTCATTTGTGTGTTTCTATTTCAAATTTATCTGCTAACACTGAGGGTTTTTTAATGATGTGAACAGTTTGCATATAGTATATATAAATTTTAATCATTTAAGCAACCTTTAAGAGTGAGTATCAATACCTGCAAATTACAGTATTTTGATGCTAAGCTTTCAATGTTCTTTGTCAACTGAGCATCTTGGAAGCTACTATGAAACTATGTCTTCTTCAATGACAGATCTGATTGTCATTGAAAAGGTCAGCTTCTCTGCAAGATTTTATTTAAAGTATATTAAAAAGTATTTAGTGACTCAAGCAAAATGCTAGCCTAGATAGGAATTCCTAGCAAGACAGGAGTTCAGTTTTCCAATAAAAAATTAAGAACTTCATGAACAAGTTTAGGGCAGCCTATGTTTCCACCTGCCACATCTGTAAAATGTGTCAATATTCATTACAGGTAGGCGCTGCTGACTAGATCAGAAGGCTACGTGTTTTGATCTTATTTGAATCATTTTATTTGCTTCCTTTAGTGTGGATTATAACCAGGTAGTAAAACAATTAATGGAACCTGTTTTGCTTTGTTCATCACTAATCATCTTGGCTTAAAAAAAAGTAATAAAAAATAGCTAGAATCACTGTTAAAGAAATTCAATACGTAGTTTATACTATGTTCCTATTTCAAGTGTACCCATGAAGTATAGGATTCCTAGATGATTAGAAGACGACTAGAACAGCCAAGGCAAAACACTTTGATAGCAGACGGTGTAATTGAGAAGGACCTATTAAAACTCAAGTTTTGAAATCATATTGATGACATCCTTGGGACTTTATTTTCCATACTAACTAATGAAGAAAGGAATGATGCTGAAGAATATCAACATATCTGGTAGTTACTACAGAGTGTAGACAGAAATAAGTTTGCTAACAATAACCTTTTTGATACTCTGCTATTGTGGAGTACTTAATATGCATTATGACTACTAAATATTTTTAATCAAATAGAGGAGATGAATCCAGTGTTTGGAAGTTTGTTCTGATGAAACTTAGTAGATATAAGGGCAGCTGGGATGTTTATATACAAGTGTCAATCTTTTCTTTAAAATTCTGCCCATGCTCTAAAATGGCCTTGCATAAATGTAACTCAAAAATTTTAATAGGACACCACCAAAAATGCTATTAGATACTTGGGAGAACAGATCATTTAATAAAACAGGACAAAATAAATCATTACCCCTTCAAACTGTATGTGTGTGAGCACGTATGGGGAGGTGGGACAAGCCAGCATGACTCCCCACATCCATCCATACATTAAATCAAATGGTCTTACCAGTCTTTTAAATTAAAAAAACAAAATCAAACAAACAAAAAACCAAAACAAACAAAAAGCCAAATAAAAACAGGATAAGGAAAGGAATTAATCACTATGAAGAGAATGATCACTATTTGGCTATTTCTAGGATTTTGTTCTTGATGACTCTATCTGTTGTTGCTAAAAAAACAAACAAACAAACAAAAAAAACCCACCACTTCTACACTGACATTCATAAAGCTGCAGTTATGAACTAGTTATTGATATATAAATTTTATTTACATGAAGCATAGCTACATCAGGGTGGGTTCAACATTCCCTACATTTCCTCGCCCTCCTTCCAGTATTCTAGTAGGAAAGTAATTCTATTAACATTTATTTCACCATGGTATGCAGAGATATGCTAAGAGAAATTTGACAGCTTTCTGGCCTCTAGAAAACAGGTAAATCTTATTTACCCAGAGCATGAATGTATAATTAGGCAATGTGTGCTATAGGGAATTCATAAAGTACATTTTCCTGAGCAGAATGTAAAAAGAGAATTTTGCCAGCAGTTTGTATCGAAGAAGGACTGTATCTGTAATATGCATAACAGATTATGCTTATTTACTTCTTTTCCTCACTTACTAGAAAACAAACTTTGCAAATACATAGAATCAAAGATATTTGCTTCAATTTTGACATCCTTATATAGAAACGTAACAGCTAGGCACCATAATCAAGAAGTAATTAGTTTCCTCTAATCTCATTAGGCCTGCAGAAATTGCTCAATTATTAATCTTTGCAATAAAGCCTGTTTAAACAAGCCTTTTAAAGCTTATTAAGGATTGCATTAGCTTTGGCCCACATCTCCTCTACTATATAAAGACTTCATTTTTACTTTAAATCCAAAACATCCAACTTCAAAGCAATTTTAAATACTGTAAGATAAAGCACTGCAAATAAAGAGCAACAACAGGTGGTTGAGAGGCCAACTCTTACACAAATTTCCTTCTTCCACTATTAAATGGAAGGAAAGCAGGAGACACTTCTGCATTACCACTGCATTGCAGCATCCTTTCAAAACACTCGACTTCCTCATACCACAATTTGATTCTGTAAAATAGGCTACTAACTTTCTTGATTTTTTGTTACAGAGTACACTGCACCTGTACATGCTAACAAAGACTTTAATGTTGCATAAATGGCAAAACTCCATCCTCAAGCAAACTTTCATACTATCGGTTTTCTGAATAGTTGCTAAGATCCCTGAGTCAACTTGTTTGTCTAACAGCTGTACATTAAATATCTGCACTCTGAAAAGTGAATGTGTGTGTGAATTAAGACACTGCTTTCCCTCCAACTGTAAACAAAAAAGATGACAAGCACTAATAGACACTGGTGTTTTTTTACCCAGTTGTGTTAAACTTATTTATTGCATATATGTACTCTGTTCTTATTACTAGCTTTTATTTTCTAATTATCTGAATTTTTGCCTTTGTTTGGACAAGATTTTTTTTACCATTATCTCTGAATCTTTCCAGCCTTTCACTGTTGGAAGTGTGTATCACTGCAAAGTAAAATCTAGAAAAGAGTAGAGTGTGCGTGTAAAAGAAAAAGAACATCTTGACCCCTAAAAATATTCTTCTAAATAAAAGTAATTTTCCCACTATTTCAAAGAGGTCATATAACCTAGAAGTGATATTTTTAACTTAGGGTGATTAACCATTCTATCGATTAAATACTCTTTACTGAGTTTAGGACAGAAAATAACTTAAGTCTTCCAGATAACTGTTCTGGAACTTATTTTATAACATTCAATTTAGTTTTCTTGTTGCACTTATTTTGTTTATTCTCACTAGTGAAAGTTGTTCAAACATTTTCTTCTAAAAGTAACTGCATAGTTTATATAAAAATTAAAATACTCACTTGAAAGCAGTCTTCTGCCACTTCAACATCATTTTGAGAGGGTGGATAGCCTACAAAAAAGTTTTAAAAAATTGTTAAAAAAGAATTTTTTTTAATTCACTGTTTATTGCTTCCAGTAGTTCACATCGTCCTTCAATAACCCAGCTGTGGGAAGCAGACTTGTATATTTTTTTAAGCAGTTGATCACTGCATTTCAAGTTGATTTTATTATGTATCATTCATTACTGACGTGATTTTATTACTAAGTGTACCTCATCACACTCTTATCTTGTTGACACCATTCACTGTAAATAAGAATGAAGGGAATGCATTCTTGCTTTAAAAATTAAGGGCAGATTATATTTGGTTAGCATGAATGCATGTTGTGCTATGTTCTTCTGTTATAAAGCAGCAGAAACTGGAACTGTGAGACAATAAGAGAAAAAATGACTAACATCCCTATTATTTCTATTGCAAAAATCAACTCAGTTCAGAAGCCACTCTAGTATGACAAAAAGAATTTTCCTTCAGAAACATGTTTCTTCTCTTTGCTAATATGATAACCTACATTAAAAAAACTAAATTTGCAGCTAAGCACAGAATATTTTATTTTCTCCGTTTGATTTACTTTATTTCTTAAAAAACAAGAACAATAAAACAAACAAAAAGACCCCCACAAACCTTAAAGAGACATTCTTCCCACTCAATAGAAATTTATTTTCTCCCCTTCTCCCCTCCTTCCATCTAGCAATACATTCATTACATTTTCAATTTCAACACTGAGGCTTTATGAGCTTCAGTTTGTTCACTAGTTTCCATGAGATCAGTGAATCTCTGGAACCAATTAGGTATATTACTGTTACAGAAAATTCTTCTGAAGTCCCATCTAAATCTGTCTGCCACACTACTCTGTTTACTAACAGCTGAGAAGTTAGAGCATGGATTGAAGTTATTATCACATAATTTCTTAAAACATTCAAGTTCAGAGTTTAAGACGACAGAAGCCATGAGCTTCTGAGAAGACAGATGTGGCTTATTCCAGTATCTCCTTAAAGAGAAAAAAAATGGCAATGCTTTTGGTTTAGGGAATTACCTTATTAGTGTTGGTGAAACAATTAAAGACACTTGAATGAACAGCACTTTCAAAATGCTTTTTTTAAAACTCTGACAGTCTCAACTTGGTATTGACCTATCCACATCTTTTTTAGCGTTGATACCGTATTGAAGTACTTTGCATATCACCTCTTATTAAACACATAAGAAAACTTAACCCCTTCATCTGAATAGATACCTTGAGAAATATCCTCCACTGCTCTCCGAATACCTCTGTCAAATGCTCTTGCATCAGCAGGACTCTGAAATGTGAGGCCAAACTTTTTGTCATCAATCTTCCAGTGGTAAAAAGTTGGAGTAACTTTGTTGTAAACTAGGTCCTTCTTTAATGTGCATTCCAAGACCACCTTACAGAAATAAGACAGGAGGAAAAAGATATCAGTGACTAACAGAGAACTTATGAACAAAATGCAGCCTTCTGAACCACCTGAAAATATGCATCAAAAGAGCAGATAAAAGCCTTTGTTTAAACTTCTTCCAATTATAAGTAGGCAATTTTACATTAGTTTCCATTATGGCCAAATTATTCACTAACAGTTACTGGTACAGTAACTGATACAGTGGTACAGGTTCAGGATACTGTGTACTGACCGCATTTTCCCTGTGAGATTCTCATCCCCCAACAAGCATATGTCAGTACACACATACTAGTAGTTCTGCAAATGAAAAAACATTAGCAGAAAAATGGTTTTTAATATACAATATTACAGTATCACTGGGAATTTCAGTTGTATTATTACTCTAAAAGTTTTTTGAGTGCTGAACTAATTTTACACTGCTCTCAGGAAGTTTCCTCTCAGTAAGACAGATAAGAATATATAACTATTTGCCTTTGAAACCATTTTAGATACACATACACATTGTTTATTAATTAAAATCACTCCCTGTACATCATTTTTCCACTTTAAGTTAACTAACTTTAAAAATATGTTTGCATATTTAATTTACTCATTTCCATCAATTCAACCATTTTTGAATGTAATCATCAATGCATTGAATATTTTCTGACAAATAGTTCAAGATGAACAAGCAAGTGTGAAGGGGTGTGCATTCACCTGTCCCTGTATCACTAGATATAAACAAATAAACTGCAAGATAACCCGTATCTCTACTTTACTATTAAATTCTGAAAACCTACACAGGGTAATGTGGGCAAGGAAATGTTAACACTTCATTATTTTTACATTACTTTCAGAATATTAATTTTTAATTTTGTTATGCACGCAGTTTTTGAAGAGGAAAAAAATGGAAGATTTCTTTGGGCACGTGGAAAAAGGAGGTTAATCATAGATGTAACAGAAAAATAGCTAAGTTTAAAAAAAGAATTCTGTCTTACATACCCTCCTCTACTTAACAAATTATTACATAGGCAAGTAGATTTTTTTTTTTTCCTCCTGCTCTTCATGACTTATTCCACCCAGACCGGAGCCCACTACTGATCATCACCTCTTGCATTTTACGGCCTCTAATCCCTGTTTCTAGAAGGCTGGTATTTTTTTCCACACACACAAACCCTTTCTACACTAAAACCTTTTTACTCTGCTCTGAATTCCATCCAAAATGGTTTTTTACTTTTTTGTTTTTTCTGCCTAAAAACTCCCTAATATGCAATGAGGCAACAAAAATCACTCTGCGGGTCTACAGTGTATTCAATGATCATCTCTTCTTCCTTTTGATTATTTTTATCTTGCTTCCTCTGAAGAAGAAAAACAGTTCAAAGGATGACTTCTCATGTCATCTCATTTACTAGGCCTGGGATGACTGCTAGGGTTTCTCTGCCATATTAAACACCAGCTACTCCCACACTCTATTGGATGCAGTTTCATCCAAAATCTCAACAGAAAAAACCACAAGGCTGATTTCTCTCCAGTATCTCAATGAACACCTGCTCCAGAAGGAGTTAACACAGATTATTAGTTATCTCCGTTTACACAGTTATCTGCTGTTCAGAAGAAAAATGTTAAACTTTTTCATCCTGACTGATGATCCAAAACATATGAGGCACATTCTTCAGAAAAAACTCACCTAGTAAAGGACTGGAGAAGAACATAAGATAGATTATGGAGGTCTATTAGAACTTTCATTCCAGAACGTATGATTCCCCAAAGTCTAAAAACCTGTAAGCTTGAGCATAATGTATGTTTAACACTGCTGTTACTAAGATAGAAGGGAGCTACTGTAAACACCTTAAAACAGAGTAGTGGAGTGACCAGGTTAGAAGGGAGAGCAATCGCTCCCAGCAGACTGGCTGGAGCCAGATCTAGGAAGGTGGGTATAATAAAGGAGGAAACGTGTAACTATATCAAGGGTATTTTGTGAAGACTTTACATTCCAACACAGATCTAAACACACTGGGTAAACCAGCAGGGAGCATTCCCTCTCCTAAATTACTTCAATGGTGCCACCACTTTGATTTCTTTCTCAGTTGACAAGAATGCTTTTTGTCAACCCCATGAAATGTTTTAAACAGCTACATACCACACAAATTTTGTTATCTTCTACATGCTGACTGAAGTTGGTTCCTAACAGTACTGACAGTAATCTAACTCTCAAGGATATAAAGAAATGATGAGGAAAAACCTCAGGGCCACAGCAACAAGGAACCCCAATACTCTGATGTTCAGTCCCAAAACACTTGATTTATAGAGCTGAAAGATTAAGACCTACAGCCTTGATTGTGAGCCCATGTATGCTATAACAGACATGGAGAGATTTGGCATTTTAGAATGGAATTGCAGTTGTCAGTAGTGTCAGATGCAACACACGAAGACAAAGCAACTAAGGTCAATTAACAAGAAGAAAGAAGAAAGCTTTTTCATTCATTTTGAGTACAGTCACTGAAGAGGCAGCTGGAGTATCGTAGTATGAATTTCCAGTTGTTTTACAATCAGATCCACGTAAATAGCAGATAGCATGTAGGCCTGAACTGTTATACTTGTGTTACGATTACCACGCATCTAAGGCAAAACCCACAGATATGAACCATATTTGCTCTCTAACTTGATTTATTTCAGAGCTCGCATTTCCCCATCTCCCAGAAAAGTGCTCAAATTTCCATCATATAGCTTTTTTTTTTTTTTTTTTAAATACATAAAAAATACAGGATAAGGGAATGTTCATATCTTTTCTGGAAGGTGGAGAAATTCACAAAAGAAAAAGTTGCCACTCAGAGGAAATAAAAAAAAAAAAATTTTACAAATCTAGATTTTAAGTGTGTAACATGACAGCAGAAGAGAAAAAAAAAAAAGATCATCTGTAAGGATAAGCTTTTTCTTTCCTTGAAAAGAGGAATTTTAAGAAATGGTTGTTTTAAAAAAATATTTATCAAACAGAATTACATTTCATCGTGTCTTTTTTTTCCTCCCTATATTCTGAGATATAATAATGCACGGCCAAAGATACACAGACTAGAAAATTAATTGTTTGGTTTCATTAAAAAAAAGTTTAAAGTTGTGCTAGAAAAGCGAATCCTCAGGAATATCCCTAAGAACAAACATAAAACAGTCACCTACATAGAAAGATAAGCCCAGAATGATGTTAGAATCAGTGATCTGATACTTATCCAACAAAATTTCTATTTCTATTACAGCCCCCTTGAGAAAGTGTCATGACCTCATGATATCTTTATGTATTTTGGTGTAGGACCTTGCTTCTTTTATGCTAACATGGGTCTTGCTGCATACCATGCAAGTTCACTGTTAATTCATTACACATTAGCTTTTGTACTATTTGGAGCCTGAGGAAATACGTGCATCTCTTTACTCTGTTACCAAATCATCATCGCTGGTTCTACAGTACTTTTCCCCACAGTTTAAGTCTGTATGTGTTAGGTCCTTGAACTTCATTCAGTGCAAAGTGGATAGGTGTTCTTACTGCATTTCTTATTTATCCTGTATTTTTGAGTGGCTGACTTCCAACAGCAATCTCCTAAAACTACAGTAAGATCAAACTGTGCCTTGACAGACCAGCAGCCAACAACCCTGGGGGACTGTGGGGGAGGAGGTGCATTTTCACGACCAAAGAAGTCTGGAAACACATTCATAGTAACACAGACTGGCTTTTGGACAGGAAGAGGTGCAGAGACATTTAAGCCTTCTACCAGAAGTAGAAATGAAACAAGGTTTGCCCAGAACTGGGAGAGAGAACACAAACAGGGACACTGATGGCTGCAACATTTTCGTATGCATGTGGGAGAAACATCAAATCAGCTTTCAGTTCTGAGCATTTTATTTCCCTTCGATTCTGAAGGCAAGCAGTGAACACTGAAAGCATTAAGAATTAACAGAAAATTGTCAAGTACTTCTAAATGCAATTAAGCTGCTCAAAACTAGCTTCAATACATCTAAAAAAAGTTCTAAAGGGAACTACTGCAAAGTGAGGAAGGAACTGCAGGTGCACATAGCTCTGCGGGAACACAGGGTACTCTGCTAATAGCACTACGCCTCGCTGAAACAACTGAGTCAGCAGAATTTCTATTTATATGCTCTCTTCCTACAGCAGTCACAGTCAAGGCAGAAAACTCAGCAGACCTGCCTCAAGGGAGAAACTGGTATGCTTAAGAAGAATCAGCATTACAGCGTAAGAAGCAATCCTACCTTTTAAGCCTACACAGCTTAAGTTTTAGGAATTGTAAATTGGCAGAAAAGAGTAAGTCTTGGATAGAAGGCAATAAGATAGAGAGTTTGTGTTTTCCCCCTTTGGAAAACTGTTTGTCACACAAGTATACAAACAAGCCTTATCCAGTCAATTTCGTCTTCCCTAGATCTGCATGCAGCAACAGCTGATACTCTATGCTGGTTTTCTTTCTCTGAGACTGACTTTCATGATGCTATTTAATGCAGTTATTTAATTTACTGCAGCTCATAAATAAATACTGCCTATGTGTTCCATCAAACCAGATGGATTATAGGATCCTCTAAGTTTGTGATTTCTTCCCAGACAGAAAAGTTTTTTTTTTTTTTTTTTTTTTTTTTTTTTTTTTTTTTTACATCAAAAGGGGACCTTTTACTTGCCATAGTCAAATTCCTCAAAAAAAACCAAATCACTACTGAGCAATTCCTCCTGACTTTATGTTCTCAACAAACTGTGTTGACAACAGTGCTAATACACATAGCATGTATGAACAGGTTAACAAACAGATTTTACTTTGACCCTCCACCAGAAAAAAAAAAAAACAAAAACAAAAAACCCAAGTGTTTTCCCAAGCAGATGAAAATCTGCACTGAAAAATTATGTTCTAAGGTTTTTTGTTTAATTCTAGAAATGTATCTTGTTACTTAAAGTAAGCAGTTGGATGTGTAGGTCTACAGTCATATGAACTGCATTCAGTAACAGTATTAGATTGAGATTATAAATTTACTTTCCAGTCTACAAGCAACAATATGCAAGCATCTATTCTTAGGCTCTATGTCACTAAACAGATGTAAATCGTTACCGTTTTATCCCTGAGTCGTTCTCCATGGATAAGAAAATCAGCACAGCTATTCTCCTCCTGGGGAATGACTTTGAAGACTGTGACACAGCTTAGTCCACCCCCTCCAAGTGGTAACCATCCACCACTTGAGTCATCTCGGGTCATCACCACAGCTCTCACTCGTGCATAACTATTACTGGAAGAGATGCAAAAGAAGAAATTAGTTTTCCATAAATGCAAAACAGCTAGTTAAAAAAACGTGACAAAATAAACAAGCAAAAAAAAAAAAAAAACCCAACTAAACAAACAAGAAAACCAACAGAAAATAAAAATAATAATAAAAGAATCAACACCTCAAAAAACCCACAACCAAGAAATTCACATTCTGGAGGCTGAGCACTTCCATAACTGCTACTCAGAAGAAACCATCCTAAAAGATCTCACAAACATTCCCATCTAGTTTCATGTTCTCACCAGGGCTACTTCAGGAGTTTGCACTTCTGCTTGGAGCTTACGTGTGATTCCTTGTAAAGAAACAATCAGACAACATAATTCCTTAGTCAACATTTATATTCTTCTAGAAACTTCGCAATCAGTGATCTAGCTAGAGGGCCGGGGGCAGGATAAGAGTATGAATCAACTCCTGATTTATTTTAGACTAATCATGAAGCGAGTCATTCACCATGAAATCACACAGAAAAGAGAACAAGAAAGCAGAAAGAGGTCAGGCCTTCTGCCACTGAAATCTAAACAAGAACAGGCTTCCGGCCAGAAATGCTGCTCCCTCCCTCCCATGTACAGAAGCCCTCCTTTGGAGGGGGTAAGTCAGAACACATGGGGTTTGACAGTAAAATTGGTTATGGCTACTTAAAATCTAATATTTCTAGTATCCATTAGCTGGTTCTCACCTATACTTGCAGCGTATGGAAACTTACTTGGATTTTACAACCTAATGACCATTTTCATCATTCAGTATTTTCATAAAATAAACAGCTACTGCTTCTTTCCATCCAGATTTCTTTTCCAGAGTCTCAGAAAAAAAACAGTCTGTAACCTTCTCTCTTACATTTTACTTATTTTTAATTAAATCACACATTTTAGTTTTGAGCATGAATTTGATGCTACGTGTGTTATAAAACTGCATTTTTTGTCAAGGAAGAAATATGATTCTACCCTACATTTGAATATGGTTTACTGCATGAATGAGTATCCCAGCACTTCAAGAAAAATAAGCCCCAAGGTATCTCTTGCAATGTATTTCTGATCTACAGTTTAAGTACTTATGCCAATAAGGACTGAACAGGAAATATTAAAAGGGGACAAAGCTATTTTTTCTGTACAGAAATACTTGCGGTACAACCATTACCAATATCAGTGTTTTACAGGCTGGTTCGGCCCGGTTCCGCGACTACAGGGCAGAGGGATCCACAGATCCATGCCTCCAGAAAGGGGAAACAGGCAACCCCAAAATAATTAAACGTGCCAACGATCTGAGGAGAAACAAACTGATTTACTAAATACGGTATCAGAATGCACGATAACACACTATAATACAATACAGTACAGTATAATTAGAACTGGAGCTAACCATCAAATAAAATGAGAGAGCGTCCAAAAAAGCTGAAGGCCTTATATTAATGGTGTGCAGATGGGACGAGCAGCAGCGAGAGCCTGATGATCGAAAAGAGGGACATCAGGTGACCTACCGAGGCCTTTTGTGTGTCCCCCTGAGCAGGAATGATAACAGAACAGCAAGCAGCCTTCTAGGGAATGCAGCCGTTCTTCTTCTCTTCCAGACAGGTGCCCAGAACTGGAGCATTAACTCTTTAACCCCCAGTGCACTCCATGCAGTATGTGGAATACCAACAGCCAAAAATCATAAAACCATGACAACCAAACTTGTATTTTAAAGAGTCTGATTTCCTGAAATGTCCCAAAATAATGAAAAATAGGTTCTTTTCTGTGCGTGTAATTAATACATTACGTTCAAAGACTTACATGATTCATACATATGATTCATATACACATGTATGTGTATTTATATAAAGAATTTTGCTGCGAGCATCTAACGCCTAAATATATAAAGGTCTGCAGAATGGGGGAAAAAAGACCATCCAATTTTAGCTTACAAGCAAGTTAAGTTGTTTATAGAGACTTTCTTCACCCCCCAAAAAACAAAAAACTAAAACCTCCTCCTCTTAAACTCGTACTTAAAGCAACACTTCACTCAACATTTCTCACCATTTCTGTACCAGTATCTTTAAGTTACTTCTCTCACACAGCAGATAAAAAAATCCTAATCCTTCATTGCATGCATCTATCCATTCTAATGTCTCAAAATAAAAATGGTTATCCCTTGATGCTTAATAGTATTACTGATATCTAAATCATTCACTGATCTCTGTACCTATACTTAACTCAGCGATAATTTCAGATTGCAACCATGCTCTTAAGGTACAAATAATCATTTGTCTCTTATTTGTCTCACATGAGCCTCTTCTGAAGAACAGAGGGTGCCTGGACATTCCTGTGGAATCACAGAGAACAGGACGCACTAGTTAAAGCTACATTGTATTTTCACTATTCTCTCTTCAAGCCAACTACAAATCTAGCTTAGAAGTTATTCATTCTGTAAACTTCATTGACAATCTGGATATTAGAACTCTCTTTTATCTACCAGTAGAACTACTAAACTATTCAGTAATAGTTCAGATAAACATCATTCAGAGGTAGCCAAAGAACTTCACTTAGAGTAAATGAGAAAAAAATGAAACTTTTTACACTCCACACCCATTTGAAAATTGAAAGAGAAGGAAAAGGTAGAAGTAGCACATGATACTTCAAAAGCTTAGCTCCTTCCATTTCCATGAAGTCTTCTGGGAGTGTTGGATTTCTTTTTTTTCCTTCCCCTTCCCATAATGAGAAGCCCAATGCAGTCTAGTTAACAATCTTGTGTTTTCCTTCCGTATTTCCTATCCTTCTGACTATTTTAATAGGCAATATTTATCCTTTCATACATTTTAGAAACTACTGTCAAATCCACTCCATTAGTGCAAGAGCCAAAGTAAAGGTGCCCAGCAGGTAAATCTGTAGTATTGACTGAATAACTTTTTAACTTGAGAAGAAACATTTTTTCCAGACAACTACCATATAAGTTAACTAGATAAATTCATTACTGCACTTGCATAACAATGCCAAAACCAAGAAATTGCTTTATTTATTATTAAGAAAAAGAACTTGACAATTGTTATCCATTATCATCTTTAGTAACAATACAAGCTGGCAAAACAGCAGCAGAACTCACAGGGATTTCAATTTCCAGAAATCTCTGCAAAACAGAGCTGCCTATCACAGCACTGGTGGTATTGAAACCAGCCAGCTCTCCTATGTCCCCGTGTGGGACAGCTGGGAACACCTAGCACTAATTGTTAAAAGGCTGTGATGGTTTAGCTGTGGGAAAGAGGGCGAACAAGGCTCCAGTGTTTTTCAGCACCATCCCTTAAGCATTTTTAAAACCTACAGCCTGTTATGTTTACCTGCTCTTGCATGTTCAGATATTGCTGACAGAGCAGCTTGTCAGAAGAAAACCAACCAAAACCAGAAATTAGTTGAGCACTGCTCAACTTTTCAGAGGGCCACCAGAAGTGTGAAATGCAGTAGGAGGGGAAGCATTGCAACAGCAGGTCCAAACCTACTGTATTACATGCAAGGTTTCCTGAGACCCCTTGATTTTGGTTGTAGCCACTAGAAATTTGAGTCAGAGAAAGGTTTATGGGAAAGGCAAAACAGCATTTTGCTCATAAGAGCTCCCTGCTTCCCAAGAACAGAGATGCTGTACTCTCTGCTGGTACTTAGTTATTGGGGGAAAACCATACTGTAGGTAAATTTCACTCCCCCACCCCATCTCATCACAATTTATGATTTCTTGTAATCACTTAAGAATACCATACTGCCACCTCCTTACCTAAGGCACACTACTGTTAGATAAGTTCTATTCTCATAATTCTGAATTGCTGTTTGGTTCCACTGTGGTGATCAACAGCCTTCACTCACGTTCACCATAAGAACATTAAGCATTAAAATCTGACCTCAGGTATTAAAGGCAATCCTCTCTCTCCAAAATCTATATTGTATACTTGGGCCCAAAGTAACTTCTGACCTGAATGAACAAACTGTTGTTCCAGCCTGGGAAGCACTTCCTGGGCCCTGACAAACAGAGATCTTCAGCCTAGCAACTCTGTCCTTCAGGACAGAGGGGGTAGATTTTTTCTTCTGTCAGCCTCCTTCCCTTAAAAGTGATTTTCTTAGTTTTGGGTATTTCTTATTTGCAATATCAAGCCAATGAAAGATACCAAAGTATTATTATTACAATGATCCTTTCTTCCATTAAGGATCCAAGAAACTGAAGGCTAAGGATTTTCAGACAAAATACTTTCCCCAGAGAAAAAGAAGACATACAGAAGAAGCAAATAACAAACAGCAACAACAAAAAAAAACAGTTATCTTGTTGCATTCCATTTATTTTAACTTCTAGGAAAAGACCTGCATACTGTTGATTCATACTAAACATTACACATCTTTTATATTGCAGTTACTGTAGGACTGAAAAATAATAGTGATGTTTGCACAGACAACCAAAGTGCAGTACTATAAAACAACTACAGTTTCTATTAAAAAAAAACAAAAACACACTGGTTCTGTAAGTTAGAAAACTGAGCTACATAAGAAATTGATCCTCCTAGCTTAAGAAATTTGTTTTCTGGTTTCTTTCAGAACTGGAAAGCAGCTTTGTAGAGAAGGACCTGGTATCCAGCTGGACACCGCATGAGCCAACAATGTGCCCTTGTTGCCAAGAAGGGCAGTGGTGTTCTGGAGCAGTGCTGCCTTGTTGCTGATGCAACCTTGCCCCTCTGCCCTGGAGAGGCCTCACCTGGAGTGTTAGGCCCAGAGGGGCTCTCCAGTGCAACAGAGGCATGGAGCTACTGGAAGGAGGCTAGTGAAGGACTACATAAACAAATGTCCTGGTTTTATCAGTATCCCATATCAAAACATCATGCAACAATAACACAAAAAGAAACATAAATAACTGCAGATGACTGAACACTGACACAGGCTGCCCAGAGGCTGTCGAGCATCTTCCTTGGAGTCCCCTGAAAGCTGTTAGAGCAAGGGTTGGATCAGATGGACCCAGAGGTC